CTTGATATCTGCATACAATAATCTCAAACAGTGATTCATTCCAAGATGTTATTAATGCATTTAGGTGGATCATTGCCTATTTTCAGACTTTTCCTTGGAAATGTCCCTATTCCAGAAGAGAACAAACACTTCCCTGGCAACCATGGAGACATCGCATGAAGCTGCCTGCTTTAAACACAGGTTTTTAAATTTTTTTTAAAGTTTATTGCTTTATTTTAAGAATTCAAACGACTTTTGCTTTTGAATCCATAATACGGTTGTGCCAGTTTCAATATAAAAATAATATTATAATTTTACCAGTTACATTATATAACCCCTCATCTAAAAATACTGCCTTGCCTCCCCGGAGCTTCCTCCATGCCTGAGTTCCCATGTGTACCCTAGTTTGAGAAGTGCTGCTTTCATTTGAAAGGAGAGAAGAGCATGAATATTCTACCACGCAGGGTTACATTTGGAAGCAGACTTTTGCCAGCACATCTTCGAGTCCAAATTTATAGAAAACTAAATCAAAGTGATCAAACGCAAAACCCCTCCACGCAGCTCGAACGGATGAATAAATAAATTCCTTATATTTTTAATGGTTATCCCTCTCCTCTTCCCCTTCTCTCCCCAGTGCAGTGGGAACACATGGCCAGCCCTCACACTTCATAACTTACTCATTCAAAGACTCTGGGGGAACAAAGACTTTGCTCCTTCCCTCTGCTCTAGTTTCTTCTTTACATTTCTGTTCACCAAAGGGTCCGTTTCCATCCCTTATTCCCTCCTCCCATGATGTCTTCCTTCTTTCTTCTTCAATTCTAAGTTCCTGGAGATCTGTGAGCCTGCTCCACGCAGCGTCTTTGTAGTACGTCGCCAGTTTGCTTGTGTACCCTCATCTTGCTTTCTTCCTGGGGCACTCTTAGGTAGATGGGCGGGATCTTGTTCATCGCTCACGGGTGCATGGGGTAAATTCTGTTGGGATCCGCTAGTCTGGGATGAAATGGTCTTGCCTCTTCAGTCCTGTTCTTACTCCTTTACACGTTAGCAACACTGAGTGACTTGCATATCTGATAGCAGAGTATCAAATGTCACTCTGCCCTCTGTTTTCCAGGTCTGTTGTTTCTACCTGACATTCTCCTTTCCTTTTTTTTTTTAAATCCTCACTTGAGGATAATTTTCCATTTATTTTCAGATAGAGTGGGAGGGAGAAGAGGGGAGAGAGAGAAACATCGACGTGAGAGAGACACATTGACTGGTTGCCTCCTGCACAACCCCGACCAGGCTGGGGACAGAACCACAACTGAGGCACATGCCCTTGACCTGAATCAAACCTGAGAGCCTTTGGTCGTTGGGCCGAAGCCCTAACGGCTGTGCCAAACCAACCAGGGCCTGCGTTCTCTTTCCTTACTGACCTGCTAAGCTTCTACTTATGCTGCAAAGCCCAGCTTAGATGGTTCTTGCTTTCTGAAGTATTCTTTCCCTCTTTTGGGGTGAAAGTAGTCTCCTCATCGAGGCTACCTCTTTCCTTTATATATGACTTGATGACTACATTTTTTTCCACTTAAATGCAAAAATTTGTTTACATCTTTTCTTCTTCACTAGATTATGAGTTCCTTGAAAGTGACATCTTGTCCACCTTAGTATTCCCATCACCTGACACAGGGCCTGCAACTCAATGGGGTCTCAAGTAATAATTATTATTCGACCTAAATTATTATTCAGGTTTCATAAAATAGAAGAAGCCCGGGTGGTGTGGCTCAGTGGTTGAGCGTCAACCCATGCACCAGGAGGTCGCTGGTTCAATTCCCAGTCAGGGCACATGCCCAGGTTGTGGGCCTGATCCCCAGTGGGTGGCATGCAAGAGGCAGTCAATGGATGTTCTCTCTCATCGATGTTTCTGTCTCTCTCTCTCTCCCTTCCTTTCTAATATCAGAAAATAAAATAAAATAGAAGATGACATTTTTTTTTAAGCTGGGCTTGAGTTTATGTTTTTGTTGTGTTATTTTGCTGAATCTAAATGAAATGTAAATAAAAATGTAAGAAACACCCCCCCCCCCCAAAAAAAAACAATGCACAAAAAGATATGAATATTCTGAGAACGGTAAGAAAAACTCATGACCAAGCACGATGTGAGGACGAGAAGTGTAAATCCTGGGGCTGTTTGCATGCCCGTAATAGCTCAGCAGATTCTGTCTCCGAGATGAAGGGCCTGTGCAGGAGGAATCCACAGCCCAGGACAAAGCCACAAATCTTCCAGGTGCAGTGGGCAGTCGTGAGCTTTCGTGCATTCCTGAGTTGTCAGGTTGCGCAAGATTATTGTTCCTGGGATTCAACCCCTCTGTTTAAAAAAGAACCGAAAACAACAACAAAAAAGCCCGACTCTGCTGATTTCACAATATTTCTGCCCTCCCGAGCTAAGTTCTATAAAACGTTTCATGCCCACGTCCAGGCATATGGTGTGATGTACGTGCCTCTGTCGTATAATTTAGTGACTTGCTACAGCACAAGGTGAAATACTGAGTGAGGATTGAAATACTGCATGTGCCTTGAAATTCCGCAAATCCAGGCGTGTGGGAGACATTCAGCACAGAATCTCAACATGACTAATCCTTAGAAAACACCGAAACCAACAGTTGCTCCCCGCTGCCAGGACGTGCTGCAGCCCCGTGGGACTTGAGCGGAGCCATCTGGAATTTCTCAGATTTAATATTAGGTCTCTGCTTTTGCAGAAAGACAGCAAAACCCTGTTGCCCAAGCCCTTTACCCGAGACGCCGTGTTGCTCATTTTCATGAGTTTTTCTTTGTTCCTGTAGTTCTGTGGGAAATTAATTGCAACAGATCCGAGACACGTGTGTGCCCACTTCTCATCAGAACGCATCAGGAGTGACGTTTCCTTGTTGCTGACTCTTTTTATGCCCTGGACAGCTTCCGAAAGGATCTCATCTTATTTCAATAAATGTTTTTCTCGAGACTTATCATCCAGTCCAATTGCACATCTGTTCAATCCCCTCTCCTCGTTATGTTTTCCTAATCATTAAGCAGAGTGTGGGTATCTCCATTGCTGGGTGCATTGGGTGTCACTGGGCTCTGGGAGTGGCCACGTTGTCACCGATCTGGAGCTGCAGGCTCTTCCCCTAGGTGCTTCCCTCAGCTACATAGGAGCTGGCGAACTGGTCTTGAAGGACGTTTGAAGGTGACATGCTGGCTTTTTGAGGAGCAACAGATTATGTCCGTGTCTGAAGACCAGTGTAGTAGTGCTAAAGTGGATTTAACAGATTTTAATCAGGACCCACTATGTTTTTAATAAGGTTTGGTCCTAGATTTCAAGGAGCGCACAGCCTTGTGGGGAACACCAGGGTGCGGACAGCATGGAACAGGGGAGCCCCATGAACAGGATAGCTCAGATCCGCCTCCAGAGGCCAAGGGGTGTTTCCCAAGCAGCTGACTGCAGTGATAACTTAGGGTGACACTGTTCCCTGTGTCCATCTCCCGGATACCAGATTTCTCTCCACCAAATCTCACGACCTTCTGTTATTTTTACATGCAAACGTTGACTTGAAGAGACCCAGAGGTTGAAATGATTGCACACTTTCCCACTGATGACCCTACCGTGTCTTAAACTTTACTGTTCACTCACATCATGGACGACACTATCCCTGGTCAGTAGATAAAGTGAAACAGCATGACACATTCCAGAGTAGCTGAAATTTTCCTTCAACCACTATGTAACCAATAAATCATTATTTTCCTAATCTTGTCATCATAGCTCATAATTATTAGTTATACCGATGGGTAGTTTTATTCCCAGACTCTTGCATTGGCTTTTGGCCATCTCTCTTCGATGAGCTCTAGCAGGCCAATTGTTTCAAGGAGAAGACGTCTCTCAACTCATTTCTAAAGCTTTTCCCTTCAAAATTCTAGCACCTCTGAATTCTATGTTATGTGTTTCTCTTTCTTCCCAGAAAAGAATGAGTTAGTAGTCAACTTAATATTTTTCACGCTCGAGGGGAATTCAGCCGCAAGGACGTGTTTGTATTGCTCGAAGAAACTCAATTAGTAGCAAGCTGTGGAAGGGAAAAGGTTTTCACGGTGGAAGGGGTTGATACTGTGCTTCGTTCATATCTATTGCAAGTAGAGCTGAACCCCAAATATATGCAAAAGTTTTCAATTTATAAAAGTTCTGTGGGACCCCAGTGGTTACTCTTTCCTCATCCTGATTCTCGCAGGTTTAGAGACGTACAGCCAGGAATAGAGGGTCGATGACATTCTCATTCAAATATAAATTCCACAGAGAGTGGAAACAAAACAAAAATGATAAGGGTGCCTGCCATCTCTTCCACTGCCGCCTCCTTTTCTGCTGTCCAAGGAGATTAACTTTTACCTACGGACACTCAGTCTAGTGCTGGCTTACGTCGCTGGCATGTTCTCTGACATCACACTGAGTTACACTCTGACATCACAGGATTTCATCTGCTGTCACCTTTCTATGAGTTCTCTTTTTGTGTGTGGTAAATTCAGACTTAGCTAAGTGTGTGCAGTCCGGTCCTATGACTCCATGCATTAGCCAGCAACCCCTTTGGGTCACGACCCCTTTGGGGGTCGAACGACCCTTTCACAGGGGTCGTTGCTTAGACATAACAGTAGCAAAATTATAGTTATGAAGTAGCAACGAAAATAATTTAATGGTTGGGTGTCACCACAACATGAGGAACTGTATTAAAGGGTCGCAGCATCAGGAAGGTTGAGAAGTACTGTCAGTGATTAGACACTATAGTAACACTTCTCTCCAACCAACCCAGGTAAGCTTTGGGAGTTACTGATTAGAATAATTTCATGGGAGTTATTATTGATGGGAATATACCATGCAACCAACACACTAATTACGTGGTCCAATTTACCAAATTTCTATTTAACTGAACTTTGGGGGTGTAATTTCTATAAGCTTATTCTTGATCATTGCTGTACTTATAATGATCGGTATCATTTACAAAAGATTTATCATGCTTATTATCTCATTTTAGGTCACCAGTCTCTTCAGAAGATCACGGTAAGAATCTGTCTTACTTATACTAATTATTAAAAGTTGAGCTCTGGTCCTTGCATTTCACTGTAAGAGGGGAGAATTATTTAAGAAAATGTCTCTAAGATGTTTTTGCCTTGAGTTTATTGCCTTGTGGAATGTCAAATACTTTTAAAAACTTAATTCACCCTAGCGGAATTTAATATCTTGTAGTTCTACAAATACGTCACAACCATTTTGGTTGACAAATTTTAAAGCTTGTTGTATTCTATCCCATCGCTGAAAACTTCTTGTGACTGGGCTGGCCATATGACATCTCTGAATTCCATATGCTTTGAAACGGGGGTCTGTAGTAGATATTCCTAAACGTTCCTACCAGTTCAGACATTGGGGTGTGCACGGGGTGCTCTGAGTCTGAAATGAAGCTAATTGGTAAATGGTGTGAATTGTTTATCCAGCTGAGGTAAGTTATTTACGTTTGGAGAATCAACTACTTCATGGAAAGGATAATGTGTAGTTTCATCACCTCTAACTCTTGGAGTTGTTCATTCATGCAATCAGACGTTCAGAAATGTTTGTGAAGTATCTGCAGTGGGTCAGTTATGCCTTATAATCAAATGACACAAACAGGCGGTTGCGGTGTGTGACCAGAAGTTTTCCCTCCAGGAACTCCATGAGCCTAGTGGGGACGGGGCTGGTGAAACAACACATACTACGAAGTGAAAAGTGATTAATCTTACAAGAGAGGAATAAGCAGGGCTCTGGGAGTACTGTCGGCTTCTCCTCGGGCAGCTCCTGACGTAGCTGAGGGCACCGTTATCCATTCGGCCAGCCCAGTACGAACCCTGGAAGCTGCTTCAAGCTCCCCTCTTCATCCTCTTGTTTCCGCCTGTTCATTCTGCTCTTTGTATTGCTCTTACCCTATTCTCTTTCCCAGCCCCGTTGCTTTAGTTTGGGGCCTCTCTGTGTCTTTCTTGGGTTTTTTAAATTGTCTTTTACCTGGTATTTCTACCTTCAGATCCCTGTATCCATATAGAGCGCACCGAACTGATCCCTACTCCTGTGCTGTAGGATGAAACCTTGTCAGTAGACCAATAATGGTGTTCAGCTTTCCAATGTATTTTAACAAGAACTACAAAGTTCTAAATGATGGAACCTTTGTCTTCCTCCACGGCCTATTCTTTCTTTTACCATCTTTTCGCTTCTGTCCGTGCTCTGTGCTCCGTGTAGAACTGCGTCTAATTTTTGGAACTCGCCATGTTGATCATGTCCCCCTGCTGTGTCCAGACTGCTCTCGCTGATAAGAGACTGTCCCTCCAGTTTCTATATCCAGAGACACTTACCATGTGAGACCTTGCTATCATCTCTTCCTCTGCGAGTGCTTCCTGTATTTGCATCAAATATTTTCCGTCATTCTAGAATTAACACATATATTGGATGTTTGGTTTACCTGCCTCCCCTGTTAGACTGTGAGATTGATCCCACCAAGTAGAAAAACATTTAAAAAGATGTTTATTAAGTGAATGTGTTAAGGGGAGCGTGAGGGACTTTGGGGCAGGCCTGTTTTGCTGTCATAAAATCTCTCCCAACATTGGAATGAAGTTCTCTCATGTTCTAGGAAGGATCACAGGGTAAGTATGTTTCGGCCCATGACATCAGAATTAGGTAGTTGACCGCCTCACGAGGACTTGTTGTTGTATGCTATTTTGCTTATTGGTGTTGGCATGACTAGGTTTTGTTTTATCACGGACATTAGAGATCCTTGGATTTCCAGGTTCAAATGAAAAACTCTAAGTTGGTGTTTGGTTTGTATTTGGAACAAAGGTTCCCCTTAATGACCTTCATTTGCTTTTGCCTTCTAATCAATAAGAACTTGTCCCCCGTTGCAGAAAAAGGGGGGAAGGGGACTTCTGAACTGAAATTCTATAGTCTGCTAGGGATTCTTAGGGTTATGAGCTGTCAGTGAACATATATTGGTGTCCTTGGAAGTCCTGAGAGCTTGCTACCACCAGAAAGACTTGCTTGGGATTAATAGCACTACTTCAGAATTGATTATTTTAAGAACTGGTATATGTGATGAGTTAAAGAAACATTATCCAAATTAGAAGGCATTTATATTTTCCTGGCTGCAAAAAATGTATTATATGTCCATGCCTCTTGATCGATTCTGCAACTTTCCAAAACCACTGAAACATGTCATGTAAAACTGCAATGCCGATTTACCTAATCTTATCTAATTTTCATCATCTTTTAGCTCATGTAGCCTTAGAAAATATTCTTATTCCTTTCTTTTCCCCCAAGACTTTTTACTAGCGCTTAAAATGTGTTTTCTTCTGTTCCTAGATTTTTTTGTTTTGTTCCTATTTTCTGTAGTTAGCGTACAATTTCTTGACTATCATACCAGCAGGCTTACATATGCACAGAATAATGACAATGCAAAATACTTGGAAGAGAGATAAAAAGCAGTAATTTTGCTTTGCAAACTTATGGGTGGAAAAATTAGGGCACACTGGACAAATGATTGTGGAATTGGAGTGGAAAGTCCTGTTTCTCTTCCCTTTCTGTTTTATTTGATTTTCACCAACAATTGCCTCTCTCTACTAACTGGTCACTTCAGCCATCTCTGAAGCAGGCTTTGGTCTTGAGAAAATTTGGTTTTCCAGAGTTCAATAACCCTGCCATCTAAATGTTCACACATTACCTCTTCATAGAAAAGATGCTTGACTGCTGTGGCTTTCTGCCTTATCCTCTCTGGGTTTGTTTCCTCGTGGTAAAGAGCTGTCCGTGTCTCCCCGGCCCATGTCCTGGGATGGTTGTAAGTGCAAGTGGAAAGTCCACTGTGAAAGTACTTTCCGGTTGGTTACAAAGCGCCCCAAGCACCATGCTGTCATCGTCCCGAGTGCACGAGGCGCTGTTCGCTAGTGATGTCTGCTCAGGTGCTGGCACTGCCTGTGCACCGTCAGGAGATGTGCTGGTTGGGGGCGAGGTGGTCTTGGAAGTAGAGGTGGAAGACTCTTTCCTTTGACATTATATTAACTATGACACGTTCATTGGAGAACTGCTGACATCTGGGTGAAGAGGAGTAAAATGGTTCATTTAGCTGGTGGAAACCAGAATGAGGGCTCCGTGGATGGTGAGATGCTGTCGTAGAGAGCTGATGAGCCAGGCATAAATGGAGTATAAAGCGTTTCTATTCATATACTAGAGGATCAGAGTCATTAAACAGAAAGGCTTTCCCGGCTTGTGTGGCTCAGGGGTTGAGCGTCGACCCACGCACCAAGAGGTCGCCGGTTCGATTCCCAGTCAGGGCACATGCCCAGGTTGTCAGGCCGATCGCCATTGGGAGGCATGCAGGAGGCTGCCAGTCAATGTTATCTCTCATCGATGTTCTCTCTCATCGATGTTTCTATCTCTCTCTTCCTCCCCCTTCCTCTCTCTCTAAAATCAATAAAGAGCCCTGGCTGGTTTGGCTCAGCAGTTGGAGTGTCGGCCTGCAGACCAGAGAGTCCCAGGTTTGGTTCCTGCTAGGGGCATGTACACCCCCCCCAAATAAAATCAATAAAGAAAACATAAAAAAACAAAGCCACGTTTTTTACTGCGTGCTTATTAAGTGCAGACCCTGCAGCCACTGCACTAGTCCTGGTTTTGTCTTTCACATGCTGAGAGTAGGCATCACCCTCAGGGCTCCAGCTGGGAAACATGCTCAGAGCTGTCAAATAACCTCCTTAGGATCACACAGCTCGTCAGCGGGGGAATTCACCTTCAGACCTGCTGTGACACTGCCTCGTGCGTCGCCGTGTCCCAGAACACAAGGGAGATGTTCAGCAGTAAAGCGAGTTGGTCGCATCATAGGGAAAAACGTTCTCTCTCTAACCAGACCTTATTTACTACAGTGTCAGTCATTTGTTCTTAACAAGAAAACCAAACAGAACCAAGACAACTTCTCCCTCCTGCTGGGAAGGATTTGTCCCCATAGGAAAAATAAATACCAGTGTCACAGTCTGTCCTAATTAGTTAACTGAGTGAAGCCAACGCTCAGGGAAACCTGCCATGTGCAAACCCAGGGGCCACATTACCTTGTAAAGGCACATCTGGTAGCTGGAGCCCTCCTCCTGGTCAGGAGATAAATCGCTTGGCAGTGATCGATGGCCGGCGGTAGGAGTTTCCTCTGCATTTACCGCCTGTCGCTTCATTGTTTACATTTCTCCTGGAGCTGTCTCCTGTGCCCAGGCTGTCCCAGCTCCCAGCGCTCAGAATCTGTTCCTTCATCACAGCCTGCTTAGTTTTATTTTTTCAAATATGTGTGTATATATATGTGTGTGTGTGTATATATATATATTTTTTTTTTTTTAGAAAGAGAGGAAAGGAGAGAGAGAAACATCGATCATCGGTGTGAGAGAAACATCCATTGACTGCCTCCTGCACGCCCCTTACTGGGGATCGAGCCTGCAACCCGGGCATGTGCCCTGACTGGGAATCAAACCGGGACCTCTCAGTCCATGGGACCATGCTCAATCCATGAGCCACACCGGCTGGGCAGAGCCTGATTATTCTACGGGTTCCACCTGTGCCCTGTGCTGATGGAGGGACTTCCTCTCTCATGTCCCTTCACTTGCAAAATTAAAGGCACTGGGGACTCGATTGAAAGAAAGTGCCAACAACCTGATTCCTCTGGAAAGTCCGAAGCAGCATCCCTCCCTGCCCTGCCCTCTAGCCCCAGTGGCTGTGATCGTGCTCACATTGTGTGGATGAGGATGGGAGTCAGGGGTAAGTGGAAGTATAACTGTACCAACCAGTCACCTGCAGGAGCATTTTCCTTTGCAGGGGGCCATGCAGGGAGGCATGGTATGGTAGGTCCGAGGCTCTTTAAAGCATCAGCAGTGGCCCGTTGGCTCACAGACCATAGATTCAATTTTTTCTCTAATATAAATATATAGTAGATAGAACTTTATTATAATAGAAGATATTCATAACGATGTATAAAAATGTGTCGAGTCAGCTTAAATAACCAAAAGGAACTACTGTGT